GTTGATACTAATTGGTTTTCTTGGAGTGCTGATACCTGGATTGCCTTGCTTAAACATTTTGTGGCCTTGCTTAACAGTTTTTTAGCCCATTCCTGGAGAACTGGCTGTTGGGTTAAACACTGCAACCTCTCATCTCAAGTAAAGGGAGGTGGTTGGATCCTAGGACAGAAGCAGAGGCCAATAGTTAGTTACACCCAGTGGACACCACTGAAAAGTACATACTAACACAACTCTCCCACAAACAAGAAAAACATGAAAAGATAAGCCAACAAAATGCCTCTAAGAACTCCCAGTGCTCCAAAGCTGGCCCGTGGGCAGTGAAGCTAACAGTGGCCAAAGGTCCAGTAGGATGAGTATAACAGGTAGGGGACAGTTAAATGGGATGAAGAGGTAGGAATCGGCAACGGAGAGTAAGACAGTGAGAGGAGGAAGTCTGTCAGTGGTAATCCTCAGTGTGAATGGTTCAGCTCTCAAGTCACATGCCACGACTAGCAGAATGGTGAAGAAGCAGACTACAGAAGCGTGCTGAATGTGAGAGACACACTTAGCTTAAAGCAACTCATACACCAAAGGTCGAAGGATGGAAAACAGTGTTTCAGGCAACGGAAACACACACACAAAAGCAGGTATAGTCATCGTATATTCAGACAGAGTGGATTTCAGGCCCGAACTGATCAAAAGAGGCAAAGAAGGCCACTACATGTTGGTTAAGGGAACAGTCCAACAGGAAGAGAGAACAGTTATTAACATACATGTACTGAATCATGGCTTACCCAACTGTATAAAACAAGTATTACGGGACATAAAAGGGCAGATTAAACAGAAACATAGTATCACAAATTATATCACCTAGACAAAATAAGTGAAACATCAGAATTGAGCAAAACATTTAAACAGATGGACTTGGTAGACATAGGCAGTGTCTCACTCAACAGGATGCACGTTCTTTTCAGCAGAACTTGGAACTTTCTGGACCACGTGCTAGCCAATAAAATAAGCTTAAGTACATGTAAAAGTACATGAATATTACCTGTTTATAGCACAATGAAAGTAGAAATCAAAGACAAAACATAGAAATTATGCAAATGCATGAAAACTAAACAGTATACTCTTTAACTGAACTAATGGGTTACAGAACAAACCAAAGAGATAAGACATTTTGTAGATCAAAGAGATAATGCCAGGACAACATACCAGAACTCATGAGACACAATGAAAGCAGCCCTCAGGGAAGTTTATAGCTAAGAATATGCACATCACAAAAACAGAGCAAGAACAAACAAATGACCTAATAATGCACTTCCTGGTCCTGGAAAAACAAGAGCCCAAAGCTAGAACCAAAGATCAGAGCACATATAAAAAATTAAAGAATCAATGAATCAAAGAGTTAATGGGCGAACTGTTAGCCAGTCTAACAACAAGAAAAACAAAATGATCCAAATCAGTGTAAGTAAAAATGAAAACAGTGAGATGACAGTGGACATTGCCAAACGAAAGCGATCATTAACGACTGCTTTGCAAACCTGTACATCAATAAATTTGAGAATTGAGAAGAAATTGATTCTTGGATACATATGCATTACCAAAACTGAGCCAAAAAGACTTAAAAACTGAATAATTCAGCAACAGTCCATGATGCTGAAGCAGTAATAATAGCCTGTCAGCTAAGGAAAGCCCAGGTCCAGATAGATTGACTGCGAATTCTACAAAATCTTCGAAGAAGATCTAACATCATTATTTTCGAGAGCCTAATGAAACTGAAAGGGAAAGAATGCTTGTAGAGGCATTCCTCGAAGCTGCCCTTACCCTGATTCCAAAAACCAGACAAAAACCCAGACAAACTATAGACCATTCTCTTTAATGAATATAGACGCAGAAATCCTCAACAATATACTGACAAATAGAATTCAGTGAATCATCAAAAATACCACATCCGTGACCCGGATAGCCTTTATCCCAGAGGCTTATCCATATAGGTTCGGCCTATATGGATCAATAAGTGTAATATGTCACATAAACAGAAGCAAGGACGAAAATCAGGTGGTCACTTCAGTAGATGAAGAAGAGCCTTTGACGAGATCCCACATCCTTTCATGATGAAGACACTGAAGAAAATAGGTATAGAAGGCTTTGTCTCAGTCTGATAAAAGGCATGTATGTTAAACCTACTACCAGCATCATATTAAATGGGGAAACCTGAAATCTTGCCTCTAAATTAGGAGCATGACGAAGATACCCACTAGTACCTCTCCTGTTCAACATTGTAGTTGAAACATTAGCAAGAGCAGTTATGCAACAGAAAGAAATAAAAGGGATATGTATTTTAAAGCAAGAAGTCAACTTACTATTTGTAGATGAAAAAACCTCTATATAGAAGACCCCCCAAATTCATGACTCTTAGAATACCCACATTGAGAAATGTAATGGGATACAAAATTAACACACAAAAGTCAATTGTTCAGTACACTGAACCCACTGAGAAAGAAATTATAGGAAAAATATCATTCAGAATAGCACCAAGAAAAATTAAATACTTAGCAATTAAACTATGTAATGAAGAAAGTGGAAGACTTTTACAGTGAATACATGGAACTCTTAAAAAGTAAATCATAAAGAACATCGGAGAATGGGAAGATACCCATTCCTGGATGGGAAGAACTTACATAAAAATGACCATAGCTCCAAAATTGATACACAGATGTTAATGCAGCCCCAATTAAAATACTAATAGCCTCCTCACAGAAGTGGAGAAAAGAGCCCTAAAATTCATGCAGAACTAGAAGAGACGCAGAATAGCATAAGCAGTCCTTAATAAAAAGAACAAGTGGGAGGCATCACCATCTTCAACTTTCGTTATATTGCAAAGCTACAGTGATTAAAAACAGCCTTACACTGGCACAAAAACAGACATGAGGATTAGTGGGGCAGATGAGAGGATGCAGAAAAACCCAAAGCAGGGCCAGGATTTAGCTCAGTGGTTCAAGCGCTTGCCTGGTAAGCACAAGGTTGTGAGTTCGATCCCCAGTACAAAAAAAAAAAAAAAAAAAAAAAACCCAAAAAACAAACAAAAGCACGTTCAACTATTTGACAAAGGTGTCAAAAGCAGGCATTGGAGGGAAGATAGCTTTAATAAATGGTGCTAGGGAAACTGGTGTCCACATGCAGAAGATTGAAATCTGAAATCGCTGTGTATGAAACTTAAAATGGGTCAAAGGTCTAAATGTTAAAACAGATACACTTAGCTTCCTGGAACATAAAACGGGCAATACTCTTGAAGTCAGCATGGTTGGATCGTATCAAATTCAAAGGGCTTCATACCCATTCTCCCCCCAAAACATGAACAGATAACCCACAGAATGGGAAAAACATAATAGACCTCGTTAAAAAAAAAATAAGCAAGTGAAATTAGGCTTTTCACAGAAGAACAATTACAGATGCTTAGAATACATGAAAGAGATGTTCAGCATCATTGGCTATTGGAGAAATGCAGATTAAAGCAACCCAGATTTGGGGCTGGGGATTTAGCTCAGCGGCATAAGCGCCTGCCTTGCAAGCAGGCAGTCGTGAGTTCGATCCCTGGTACTGATAAAAACGAAAAAGACCAAAAAAAAAAAGCAACCCAGATTTCATCTTACCACAGAAAAAATGCCCATCATGAAGAAAATGAAGAATGGCAGATGCTGCTGTTGCTGCTGGGAGAAAGGGAGCCTCTGCATTGCTGATGGGAAAGGAGCCTTGTATAGTCAGTACGGAACTCAGTGTGGAAAGGTGTCATTAACTAAAGATAGAAATTCAGCTAGTCCCCTCTGGGTATCTTCCTGAAAGAGTTAAAGTCAGCATATTATAGTGATCATACACACCCATGTTTGTAGTGACACAGTTTATAATAGCTAAGTTTTGGAAGCAGCGTGTATCTCCATTAACAGATGCGTGGGTATTTATATAAAGTGGAGTAGGTGTTACTCTGCCACAGAGAAAGATAAACTTGAGTCATTTGTGGGAAAATGGATGCACTGTGACTGTGTAATGCTAAGTGAACTAATTCAGACACACAAGCTTAAATATTGCATGGTTTCTCTAATATGAGAAAATGGGAGTATAAATAAAGGACAAAAGAAAAGATCGGAAATAGCATCTTTCTCAAGTGGAAGGGGGATCAAGAGATGGGGAAGAGAAAGGGGAAAAGGGAATTAAGAGGTGTTAGGTACGCTGATAGCTCCACACAAGGAATTAAATATGTAGTGCAACCATGGGCTAATAAAAGTAAATTTGTAATAGAATTCTATGGAAATGTTAGTGCAACAGTCCTTCTTCCAGTCCTTCCAGTTACTATTACTAAACTTACACCCTGCTGTGTTTCTGTATTATTTTTGTTCTGTAGTCCTTTTGGACTTACTGTGGACGATGCTTGAATCCAGCACATGCGGTGTTAGCATACTTCCTATACCTCCATTGAGGAGGCAGTTGCATGAACGTTGTGCCCGTATTCACAGCTGTGACGTGACTGCTTCACACGGGCCCTGATTATAACCTGCCGTCACTTTTAGGATCTTAGAGATGCTAAGGATGTGGGAAAATGTGCTTGTAGAATGACACCTTAGGTATGTATTTATTCCAGATTTGTTGTGTGAAAGCCTTTTGAAAGGGCCGCTTGCTTTGGTCTGTGTGACTTTGTGCTGGAATCGATCATTTTGTTGGTCTTGCTGGTTCTCTTGGCCACCATTGCTCCCTCTGATTCTTTCATTGCTTGTCAGCTCTTGCATTAAAAAAGTTATGATTCTGGTGAATCAATGAGTAGATGATAGAAACGAAAGACCAAAAGGAAGCTTGGCAACCAGGTTATTTTTCATATTTATCTGTTTCAGCCTGATGAAAATTTAAAACATCAATCCATTTCCTAACTTATTTATCAAAAAAATGTGCAGCTGTGCTAAACGGCTGGATTGCCTTGAATGATACCCACTGAATACTCAACCATCTGGCTCCTCTCTCCTCTTCAGGTCGCGGTTGGGCTGCCAAATCTATCTGACCAAATCGATGGACAACATGACCGTTCGAGTGCCTGATGCAGTGGCTGATGCCAGACAGTCTGTTGACGTGGGCAAGAATTCCTAAGTTACAATAAAAAGAAATATTTTCACAAAATTTTATGTTTTTTATAATTATTTGTAATGTAGTTGAATGAGCACATGGGCAAATGGGTTTATTATTATACTATCTTTGCTATTTTAATTCTTGTGTAACTGATTTTTGTAGTATGAATGTGTGTGATCTTTTGGTTAAATTATATAAATATATGTCAAATATTAGAAAATAACTGATATGATAATAAATCCTTATGTATTTTACCTTCTGTGTGTTTAGCAGCTTTATAAAAATATTACCACATCATCTTACATCTGCCTATTTAGCAAATAGGTTTAAAAAGGTAATATTACCTCTGTTACAAGTAAAGGTAGAGCTCTAAAGTGGCTTGTCTAGGGCCATATAACCAGAAAATCTGTGCTAGAATTTATATCTCGTTACTATAAATTTTCTATTTAGACTGAAGCTAGAAAAAATTATATTTTAATTTATAGCAATAATTAAATGCATATTGAAAAATAATTGCTTAATTAAATATTACTTTCAAAGATAGTTATTAACCTTACAAGTAAATTTTCTCAAATTTTTGATTTAGTGAGAAGTGTAAGACCTGAGCGTAGGCATTATAAAGAATTTAATGTCTGTTGTGACTAAACTAGAAGAATAAACTAAAATTAAATATCTTGAATTTTTTCTATTCTCAGCTAAACAGGCTCTTTGTAATCTTCTGAAATAATGTTGATTTATAAGTTGCTGCCATATCGTAGAACAGAAATCTTACGAATTAGATCCCCGTGTCTTGAGCCGAGTGGGGCATGACCTGGCTGCGTGTCTCCTAGCGAGGGTCTGCTCTTCCTCACGCCGCGTGTGCAGTCTGCGTGGCAATGTGCCGGGATCCCGGAATGAGGAGTGGGCTCAGCATCACATGACCTGTTACCGTGGGAGACGTGTGTAGCCTTGTCTTTGTTACAGATAAATTGGTGAAAGAGAAAAGGAGATACAGGGTGCTCTTTGGAGCACACCAGCTATCCTGGATGAATTGTGAGGGATAACAAGTTTAAAAAAACTGTAAGGTAGTTGGGGGTTAGCTTGAATACTTTATTGCAGTTTGATCATTCACATAAATACTGGTCAAATACAATACTTGACATACAACGGTGTGTTACACCCATGAGGGGTGAGGGGATGAACAAGACAAGAGACTCACGGGGAACATACATACTGTGTGCACAGATAATTTGCTTAAATCAAATCGGCCAATTTGCCAAATAAGAATTCAAGCTAATCAGTATGTAAAAAGTGACAACAACTTGAGGTGCTATATGTTCATTTTAATACTTAACACTATTACGTGCTTTCCATGTGGTGTTAGATACTTTTTAAGTACAGGAGGGCAGTTCGTTTTCTTCATGAGCTTTACCTTGTTTTCTTACACAGATCTCTTAAACTGCTGTCCAGCCTACAGTACTTTAATGAGAAGTGCCAAACCCTCTAAAATCTAGAATCTAAATTATCTGATTTCAAACATTAAAGTTTCAAATTAATGATGTTTTATTGCATTATTTCAGTAAACCCTTTCAAACTCACTAGATAAGAGGGTACTCTGTAGTTGGTTTGTGTAAGACTCATTTTTCCAGTTTGAAAAAAATTCTCCCATGTGAAACGTCGGTACGAATTACCACAAACTTAGGGGTCTCCATTTGTCCTGGGGTTCCCTGCTGCATGGAAGCTGAGTTCTAAGGCAAGCGCCCTGAGAACGAGCGTGCACTCTTAGATGTGTTGTTTTTATGGGAGGTGTACCGCGTCTTCTCTACCCATTCTTTTTGTCTGAATTAAGCACTAAGTCTGTCCTGTCATTTGAGAGGAGGGATAGCAAAGAGTTTGCAGATGTGTTCTGAAGTCACTAACAGTAACGGTTATTTTCAGGTGAACTTACTGGCTCTTTATTTCTTTTGCACACTGGCCTCTTAACAGTGTTCTCAGCTTTCAAAGAGGAGCTAGTTTTTTATTTTGTATTACATGGTAAAAGATCTGTCATCTTTGTTATCATTGCTTGTTTATTTTATTATAAAACTCCCAATATTTTTCTTCTTGACAGTAGATTTAAACGAAAGGGAAAATTAGTGGGTTCCTTCCCATGCTGTGTAATCTCAGCGTATCTTTCCTAGTCATTCTGCATCAAGAAAGCCGGCTTCTGGTGCAGTATTCTGTGTAATTGTTCAATAATATGTTCTTGTACTGAATATTACACTTGCTTGGCACAGAGGAAACCACAACTTGTAATTATATAAGGAATTCAGAACCATCAAGTTAGTTTTTTAAAGTGAACAGGGAATCTCTAAAAGTGTTTACCTTTCACTATGAAAATATTACAATTTCATCTGAAAGTATTAAAGTATCATGCAGTGATTCTTGGTGATCATTCAGGATTTATCTGAACAATTACATTTCACTTTTAAAAATGTTGTTTAAGGGAGACTTAATGCTCTCATTTCTCTGCAGATTGAATAAATCTTGTACCTTTTACTAGGGAAGACTTTGCTTCCTTCCTTTTTATAACTCTTGTAATTGCTTTACTTTCCTTAAACTTTCTGAAATTTTGTGGTAAACCACATTTTGGATCAGAATTTGTTCGATGACTTTCAAATTTATAGGACAACTTACTATTTTGTATTAAAGAAAAATAATATATTGCATAGTCATTCCTAAAAATAGTATATAAAGCTAAATGTAGACAACAATAAGACATTCAGACTTTATATACAAACTGTTCCCTATTAAAGGAATAATAAATAATAGAATATGATCTTTGTTAAGCAATAACAGGAGTTCTTTAGTGTGTCAGCACATCACATACCGTTGTTTTTATTAGATTTTCTTCTTTTTATAAGTTTCTAGAAGCTGAAAACTCAGCTTCTAGAAACTTATACCTAGAAATACCTAGGTATACCTAGGAATATCTAGATATATCTAGGTAATACCTAGGTATATCCTAGGCATATCTAGAAATACCAACTTGCAAGAGGAAAGCATGATACTAACAGATGCAAATAAATTAATAGAACAGAACTGGGGAGTTAAAAGATCAATCTACCCAAAGCAACGTAAGAGGAATCAGTGGGAATGGTATTTACAGTGAGGAGTATGACTTTACAAGACTGTTGGTAACACACCATCTGAGACATGCCTTACTCTTTCCTTTTGTCTCATTCACTTTCTATGATTTATCATCTAACTTTTAAACTTGATTTGATATAAAAGTAAGCAGTATCTTCTTTTCTGAAATCATTGGACTTGGCTTGTCCTCAGCAGTTGCTGAGGTTGATGTGTCTCTCAAGTTGGTGTGTTGGAAATAATCCCCCGCGCAGTACTGTTGACAGTATCTGGAGAGGTGATTAGATCCTGAGCACTCTGTCCTCTGGAGGATCAGTGCCTTCTCTTGGAATTTGGTCCCTGATAAAAGGATGACTTTGGGTCCCTCCTCCTCTTTCTGTCCTGCTCTTTGTGTCACCACAAACTTGGACTTGTGAGTGTGAGCCAACTAAAGGTCTGTTGTTTATAAATCAGTCTTACTGGTATGTTCGGACACGTACTGATCACGTTGGTCACAGGGAGTTTGCACCTGTACGGGATGTCCTCCTGCCTTTCCCCACTCCTACCCCATCCCTTCAGCCCTCTTCTGATCCTTACTTACAAAGGCTTTCATTCTTCTCTTCTGTTTATTTGTCTTGTCCCTTCTTTCTCCGCCCCCCTCCCCACTTCCCTTGTTCCCCTTCTTATTTGACCATTTATTCTTATTTCCCAGTGTTGCTTACACATTTTGGTTCTTACTTACGCTTTCAGTTTCTCATACCAGAGAAACCTGACGATACTTAAACATGTGTGTCCGATTTCTTCCATGAAGAGTGTGGTGTCACAGTGCATCCATTTACCTAGGAAGGCCTCACACTTCCCTCCATAGTGGAGTGGTGCCCCGCAGTACAGAGAAAAACACATCTTGTCCATCAGTTGATGGACATTTGGGCTGTTCCTGAGATCTACCTATTACAAACTGTGCTACTGTAAACATGGGTGTGCATATATCACTGGTTATGATGCTTTTAATTCTTTCAGGAAGCAAGAAGGGAAATAACGGGGTCAAATAGAACCTTGAGTTTTAGTTTTTAGAGGAGTCTACTATTTTCACAGTGATTGCACCGATCTACCATGGAGAAGGGTCCCTTTTCCCTCACAGTCTAGCCAGCATTTGTTACTGTTGATTTCTTGATAATAATTCTTTGTGGAGTGAAGTGGAACCTCAGTGTTGTAATTTACATTTCTCCAAAGACTAGTAATGTTGAACATTTTTTCACATATCCATTTGTTGTTTCTATTATTTCTCTATTTATAGAGAAGTGTCTGTTCATCTCAGATGCCCATTTTTGTATTGGGTCTTTAAATTTGGAAGGGAGTTTCTGAGTTTTTTGAGTTCTTTATATGTTCTGGATGTTAATTCTTTGAGAACAGCTGGCAGTTTTTTCCCCCACTGTGTGGGTTGTCTCTTCACTCTGTTGGTGGTTTCTTTTTCTATACAAAAGCTTTTTTTTTTTTTTTTTTTTTTTTTTTTACAGTGAGAACCTGATACTGGATTTCAAAAATAAAACAGTAGGAAATCTACCATAGTTAATATATTGCATAATGTTATCCTATAGGCTTTAGGCTTGCAAAGTCAATCAAAATAGAAGCATTGGGTTGTTTCTTTGCTTCAGTTACCACCTCGGTTTAGGTTCCTCCAAATCGGTGGTTGCTTATGGGGTGGGGCGGTTCTCTCCCTGCCTGAGTGCCCAGCTGGCTCTGGGGGTGTGGGGTGTGGCCTCCTGGTTTTCCCAGGCTGGCTCAGCCTCTGCTGGCTCACAGGAGTTGGGGATGGCGTGGCTTCCTTCTCGCTTCTCCCCCAGCCAACACCTATGCAAAAGCTTTTTAATAAGATGAGATCCTAGATATTAATTTTTTGATTTTTCAGTGTATTTTTGGGGGTTTTGTGCTTACCCCGATGTCTTAAACAGTTTTGCATCTTCTGTTTTCCAGCAGATTTGATATTTGTTTTAATATTTAGATCTTTAATCCATTTTGATTTTGGTTTAGTGCGTGGTGAAAGATACAGTCTAGTTTTAATGTTCAGTATGTGGAAAACCACTTTTCCTAGCACCAGTTATTAAAGAGTCTGTATTGATTTTTGATTATTGACTTTGTGTCTAACTATGCTACTGAATTTGGTTATTAA